GTCAAGGAGGACAAAGTGAGCATAGGGTGCCAAGACTTCGGAATAGGGCAGATGATTCTCGTAACTGTTAGTTACTTTTGGTTTTTCTGTAATTCTTCCATCCTTCATATAAGACTTGTTTCCCAACCAAATTTGAACATCCGTCCCTTTTAGGCATACATCCTTTCATGTAAGAATACTTTTCCAAATCCAAAAGTCACCTGGTTTTGGTTGAACCTCTTCAAAGTTTTGTCTTCTGCAATATTTGTTAGCGAGTGAGTTGCCATTATAGATTCAGGATTGAACAATATTTTCCATGCTTGTTTCCCAAGGAACGCCCTATTCGTGTGCTCTATTTGTCTTATGCGTAGGCTTTTTTATTTTTAGGTAGACAGAAGTGATTCCAATTTGTCATGAAAAGTTTCCTTTCTCTTACTTCGTGTCCTCACCAGAAGCTATTCACAATCTGATAAATTTTCTTGCAGATATATTTAAGTGCTCTAGAACATGATAAAGCGTAGAAGGGAAGTGAGCTCAATGTGGATTTGATCAATGTCAGCCTACCTCCTAGTGATAGGCTGTGAGCCTTCCAATTGGCTAGTTTATCCTGCATTTTATCGAGGAAGAGTTGGAAGAACTCCTTTTACCTCTATTTGCCAAAGTCAACTCCTAAATATTTGCTAGGGTTGTCGATGATTTTGATCTTCAACATTCTGCTAAACCATCTCTTGAATTTGGATTTACAAGAAGGGCTAAGGAATAATTTGAACTTGCTTTGATTTATCATTTGTCCTGATGGTGTGCATAAATTATTGAGGATGGATTTCACCATTCTACAGAAATGGACACTTTCCTGGAAGAAAAAGAAGCAGTTGTCTGCAAAGAGCAGATGGCTAAAGGCAAGTCCATTCCTACTGATCTTTACCTGGAATCTTCCTTCCTCCTCAGCTTTTTTTAACATAAGGGAAAGGACATTCTGACAGAGAATGAATAGATGCGGGGAAAAGGGATCGCCTTGTCTCAATCCTCTGTGTGGTTGGATGGGTTTGGATGAGGCTCCATTCACAAGAACTTGGTAACTAACTGTACCAATACACTCACCAATGATTCAGATCTATTGCTTATTAAAGCCCATCATACTCAACACTTCTTTAATGAAATCCAAGTTGATCTTATTATATGCCTTGCTCATATAAATTTTTAATGCACCTATAACACCCTTACCTTTTTTTTTTTTTTCCTCCAAATGGTATTTGATGATTTCACCTTCCAAAATGATGTTGTCTGAGATAAGTCTACCATTGACAAAAGCATTTTGGTAGGGTGAGATGACATCTTCCATAATAGGCTTTAGCATATTGGCTATTGTCTTTGCTATGATCTTGTATGCAACATTGCAAAGACTTATTGGTTTGCAATCCGTGACCTTCTCCGGCACTTGTTCAACTCTTTGAGCATATAGCTCGGATTAAGAAAGGACAAGGAGAAAGCTATTGTAAGGGCTCCAACACTATCCTAGAACTTCTAGTGGAAAAGACCCGATTTTCCATTAACTCCCAGTGTTTTAGACGCCCAATTTGGAATACGACACTTTTGATTTGCTCTGTCATGAAGGGCTTGTTGAGGCATTCTTGATGTTTGTCAATCAATCTAGGTAACTCAAGCTTTTCCAAGCATGCTTTAATTTCCTCTCTCTTCGTTGTGTCTTTTGCTTGGAAAATATTTATGAAGTACTTGTGGAATGCATTTTCAATCTTTTGTGGATCCTCTTCCCATTGGTGATCATTTATGAGTAGTCTTGAGATTTTATTCCTCATCTTCTTCTTGCGGTAGTGGTTTTATCATCAATTTACCCTGGATTTCTGCATCCAGTGGATTTGTTCTTGTTTCGCCAACTATTCCAACTCCTTACTGATTTCCTTTTCTCTTTTGCCTGCATCTTTAGAATTTAGGTACTTTTGTGCTTTGGTGAGATCACTTTCCAGTTTTCCCTTCTTTCTCTGAGATTCCTAAATATATATTTGTTCGTAATTTTCAGTTTCTACACTAGAATGAACGAAAGAGAACCTTTAACCACATTGCACCATAAATTGCTAATGATTTCTTTGCATTGTGGATGTGTAACCCACTGGCTTCAAATCTATAAGGCCTTCTTCTGAAATGTCTCTGTTCTTCTGTTGCAAGGATCATCGCCCCCATTATCTGAGAAGGTCACTGGCAGATTAGTCAATGTAGCTTTCTCAAATAGTCTAAACCATGTAGGTTTTGCAAAAGCCCTACCTAGACCTTCCTATACCAAGTCCTCGCCATCCTAGTTATTTGTCCAAGTGAGGAAATGTCCTTTGAGAGGGATTTCAACAAGGTTACAAGCAATTAAGAAGTCGATCAAACAATTGGCATCTTTTAGTGAGAAGTTTCGAAAGGAGTTTATCTTCTGCTCTAATAACTTGGTTGAAATCTCTAAGCATTACCCAACTATCATTCTTTTCTATATGTTTGATTTTGCAATTAGTTCCAAATAGAGTTCCTGTGTTGCAATTCAGGATGACCATACAAGCAAGTTATCCAAAAACTTCTATGAACATCAATAATGCATGCTAAAATCATATGATTATTTTTAAAGTAGATGGTAACATTTAGACAATTGGTCCACATTACTATCATACCCTCATTTTTCCCAGTACAAGATATGCCATCAACGTTTGAGAATGCCCATCCACTTACAATCTGTTTGCCTTTTTCCAAGGCAACTTTAGTTTCCATAAGAAAATAAATATTGGGTTTGTGTTTTGGGATCAGTTCATGGCAGTCGAATGAGATTAGGGGCTGACCCAACCCCCTAACACTCCAACTGAGGATGACCATGCCTGATGGGAAGGTTGTTATGGGATAGCTTAGCTGAACCCCATATCTTGGCCTCTATCTTTTTGTTGTTGCTGTTGATCTTTGGCTTCCAATATCTGCATCAAACGTCCTACCTGTCTTCTATTTTCAGTTTCCTAATCACTGTCTACTTCATCTCTCTTCCTCTTTTGATCAGACATCTCATTCGTGTTCTATGGTTAAGAACCTTGCTCTTGATGGTCATAGCTAAGTATAGAACCTTACTCAAAATTATCCCCTTTGGGTTGATCTTGTATCGTCTACAAGGGAAAATCTTGTGTTGGTTCTGTCTCTAGCCTTCAATCATTTCTAATCCCTCTTTCTGTTAAAGGAATGGGGACCTTTTGCTCATCGTCTTGCAAGCTAAGTTCTTTGCAGAAAAAGTGGGTGTTGTCCTCACTTTCGGATTCATCATAAGGTATAAGTATGTTCTAAATTGTAAAGTTGTAATTTGCTAGACCTTCTCCTTCAGAGAGATTATTTCCTATTTCTAACCTGAAACCTGGCAGGAGTAAGTTGGTGGCTTCTAACATTCGATCATTGTTTCTCCTTTCCCCTATGGCACTACTGTCAGGTCGTTCTTCTCTTGTCTGTTCTTCAAACCTGCCTTTTGTAAAAACAATATCTCCATCTGGCAGTCCTATCCATCTGGGGATGTTATCAACTGGTTAGGTGAAGAGTTCTAGATGTTGTCTGCTATTTGTTGTGTCCATGAGTCGTTCTTTATTTTGAGCCATCTCTTCAAAAAGCTTATCCAGCTATCTCTACTGCTTCTCCCATTCCCTTTGTATATCAGACCGCATTGGTTCTGTTGATGAAAGTGGGTGTAACTCTGGGCTCTGTTCAACGGTAAAACTATCCTCTAGGATCTCGAACGTGTTTCCAAACTGCTGGATGTCTTCATTTTGTGCTTGTGGTTCTTGAGCCTCCGGAGATAGCTGCTCAGGGTCTAAAATCTGGGCTTCTGATTTCAATAGGATCTGCTTTCAATGGTTGATCCTCCATTTTGATGTGGGTTGCCCGCATATTATCATGCATACTTGGGATTCTTGTGGCATACTTAATAGTTGTTGTTCTATGAGTCCCTCTTTTGAAAAGTGCTCTTATACTGTTCCTGAAAAGGATATGTTGCAGATCATAACCAGTGTCTTAGCCAAATCTTTCAGAGATGCTTTCCATCTGTTCGTTAGTCATTCTTTCAATATCTGGATTTTGATGGGGACAATTTGGTTGTATGCGTCCAATGATACCACATCTTGCGCATACTTGCAGATTCTGTCATATCGGAACTCAAATCCACATCATGGCACCATCATCTCTTCTAATCATGCATCCTGCTATAAGTGGATGCCAAGGACAAATCCAAACTCTAGCTCTCATAAGTCGAATATTTCTCGAAATAACATTATCCCAATCAATAGCATTGACTTCACTAGTGATTTGATCGAATCTATTGGCCATTAACGGTTTTTGGTACTCAAGAGAGAGACCCTAAATCTGTGGCCAAATAGGTGTTTGAACTAGATTTATGAAGTTGAGGATCATATTTACATTTTGATTATTCAATAATTATGGATGTAAGTAATATTTGATTATGATTATGATTATAACTTGTACTTTTTATTTAAATGTAAAAAATGTAAAATTTTTGTAATTGATTCACAAGAATGTATGATTACTTAATAAATTTTTTCTTATATTATTATTAATAATACGAAAATAATACATTATATTTATAATATTGATATGTGAATAACACATTATTAACCTTATATAGAGAAAACATACGGATTAACCTTTACAATAAGATCGAGGTGGAGGTTGGAAAAGATGGTAAACATTTAAGTTTTGCATACATGTTGAAAGAATTGGAATTTAATTGATGAATTAACAAATGTATTATCAACAGAAATAACTATCTTCCTTGCATCATAAACTATGCACAAAAATTATCGTAACGAAACTTTACCCTGGTGCTCTTCATCCTGAATATAGATCACCATAGACCCTCTTGGAGTGTGTTCAGTCTCAAGGGGTTTACAAAGTTTTTTTTAAGTAAGTAAATTTGCAACCTGCAAATAAGTGGCAATGATTCATTTTCTAGAAAGGAAAGGAAAAAAAAAAAGAAAAGAAAAAGAAGATGGAAAAATAACATGCATGAAGCGGTAAAACCATGCAACTATCAACTAACAGCAAATGTGGCGATGGTGAGCAAACGATGGTTGGCTAACTGTTACCATCTTGTTACAATCCCTTCATTGTTTAAACAAGAAACTAGATGAATAAATTTACTTTGATTCAGCTTTGCAGTAGTATATACAACATATCTAAGAAATTTTTGTTGAATCTAATGTAGGTATCCTGAAAAAAAGTTGTAAATAATATACTAGCCAGCATTTTAATTTTCTTAAAATTTGAGGCTTTTGCATTCTTGAACAGCAACACCACACAATGCTTATCTTAAAGATAGATCTAGAGCTGTTTAGCATGGCAATGGAAACCAACTCTTTCTCATGGCACCATCATTCATGGTAGTCCTGTTTCCTTCCTTGCAAGTTAAAGCACCCTCTCCCCTACCAGATCATTCTCTCTCTAAAAAGAAACTTGAAGTGCTTTTCCCTCTCTACAGCACAAGCCATCTTTCTCTTCGACAGCTGTTTATGGTTTTTGATGGGAAAAATTGGTGGTTATCAACTGACGTGTGACGTATGTGGAATGGGTTTAAAAAAGAACATATCAGTGAAGAGATTTTGTGCTGAGCAAAACTTGGTACGATCCAAATTAACCAGTGCAAGGCGGCACATGAAGCAAAACGGAAAAAATATGGTTGTATGTTATGCTTTTGTGAAAATTTGGCAAGTACCAACCAAAACCAACAGCAACGGTATGATATTAACAACAATGATCTTCAATAATTAACCAACAAAATAGGATGCTAATGGATTCCAATAGTATTTCAATGTTATGCTAGTGAAATTATCAGCTGCCGTTCAAGATTCTATGTTATGACTTTCCAAGCCAATCTCAATGATCACAGAACAACAATGTTTTAACATACATGAGATCTTAGTAGCAGCTGCCTATCAAGATGAGCTAGACAAAGTTTAAGCATAAAAAAGAAAGAGGGAACAAATAGTTTTTGGGCCCTAGGCAGATTACTCAGCTTTTAAATAATGAGCAATAACAATAATGACAGACTTAATTCCACACATATGAATATCAATTCAATTCAATTCAATTTAAAGAATGAAAAAGTGAAAATATGATTCACATATAAAAGGAATGAAGAGGCATCGAATGATATAAATAGCTTTGGAATTCATCCGTATTGGTACCTGGTTTTAGGCTCGAAACTGAATTGAGATTGTATAATAACGCTTTGTTGTGGCACATCTAAAACAAAGAAAACAGTCCAATAAGATGCATCTAGTATGAAAGAAGCAGGCGAGAAGTACCATTTCTTTTTTCCTCAGTAAATTGTGTTGCTTTGGCGGAAATAAAATTCTGTATTGGTGCACTCATGAAAAGGGAAAAGTTATGATGATGGAAATTAAGTGATATGTTGATGTTTACTTACATGATAATACATCAATCAATAGGATGTTTGTCAGCCTGGCGAGATGTATAATGTGCAGAAAGCAAAAGCAGAGAAAGGAATGCACTGGCCACAAAAATTGCATCAAACCATCGGTGGTAGAAGTCAAACTGAATATCTCCACCCAAAACATCCGTTATAATCAACCTGCCAATGGATACACATAGCTAAAAAGGATCCAGGTTTTAATGCGAATAATTTTAAGTTGTAGGTTTTAAACAATAAAAAATAAAAATAAGAGCCTGGTCCAATTTAAGTCCAAAAAGTTCATGCGAAAACTTGTCCACCATTTTGCAGTTCCTATACTGAGAAATTCAACCATGATAATAATGTAATTATATTCATTTAGATATGTCCAAAGACAACTACACAGAGAACAAGACCAAAAGGAACAAAGATAGAGTACATCGAGTAAAAGGTCCATTGAATCGTAAAAATAATTTGATGTGGTTTATTACCCATGCAGATTATACTAAAACACATAAAACGAAGCTCCATATTTCCTGTGCCCTGCAGCTCTTAAAGGTTTGGTCAACCTTAAGTTTTTCTAGTTAGCAGGATAGCATATCTTAAGGATCCAGAAGGCTTCATTTACTAACCTCTGAAAACAGTTCTACATAGTGAATCTAACACTCAAAGGCAAGTCTAATTAATTCTCTTTTAGGCAAATAAAACTTCATAAAATAGCTATCCAACGCACCTTTTCATTGTATGCAAAGACAAGAATACCAAGGTTGCATCAGCTTGACTTCCATGATGGTTAACTAAGAATGATGGGGGGTCTACCACATCACCTACCTGACAAGGAACATCCACTTTTACTCAGACAACCAGGCTTTTTTGATTAAGTGACCTTATTCATCCCTTTCTCCTCAGCCATTTTGAGTCATCTCTAATTATTCATTTCTATGTGTAACACAGCAAGACTAACTTCTGCACATAACTAACTTCATCTTCACCCATCTCCCATTTCTTCTCTCTTGTCTTGTGTTCTACTTTACCACAGCACCTACTGGCACATACCATTTATTTTTACTCAGAAGCCTAGCTGTTTGAATTAAGTGACCTTATCCATCCCCTTGTTTTCTGCCTTTTGAGTCATCTCTAGTTATCCATTCTGTGTAACACAGCAAGACTAACTTCTTTTCATTTCTTCTCGTCTTATGTCCTACTTTGCCAGAGCACCACTTGACACATAACATCTATGTTTACTCAGAAACCTAGCTTTTTGAATTAAGTGACCTTATCCATCCCCTTCAGCTTTTGAGTCATTTCTTTATCCATTCTGTGTAACACAGCAAGAATAACTTCTGCACAGCATTGCATTTTCACCCATTCTCTCATTTCTTCTCTCTTTTCTTGCATTCTAATTTATTGGTGATCTAATCATAAAGTGAATTCAAATTGCACAAGACCAGAGTTTCTGATCAAAGACTCGCCAAATCAAGGGGCTTAATATCATAGATTTAACTTTTTCCTCAACAATCTCTAAGGATGGCCCAGTTGCCAGAAAGGCTGCTCAGATATGATACAAAGGAGTAGTTATACCTGCTTTGGCTATACAGCTCTCAGCTAACTGCTTTATCTAAACAGCTCTCAGCAAAAATAGCATAGCAAGCATTTAATCTGATATCTCAATCCTAGGTTTCACTATTAGCCTTTGAAACTCGGATCTTATATGCAAATCAAGTATATTCAAATTAAAACTGGCATTTCATATGGTTTCTTACAGTACTATTTATCAATAATGAACTCACATCAATATAGAAAGATTTGATTCAAGAGAATTTTGCAGTAACACTATAGAGGTGAATACTATAAATTTGCTGAGAAAGTAAACAAAGTTTTGTGGATTCCAGAAACAACCATTTCACATTAATGATTAAAGAGCATTCTACATGCTTGACACTACATATTAACAATTTTCGTCCCTCTAGAAAGGATCTATAACAAAACATTCAGAAGAACTTTACAAACTGAGAAGAATTTTTTTCCTTAATAAGCAACACAAAAGATATATTAGTTGACATGGGCATACCTGTATTCATTCCTCAAACTTTTTCGTATCAGAAGAATTGAAGAAAGGAAATACATTCCCATAATTTCTGAAAGGAAAAGGACAACATTGCTGGAAGATCCACTACCAACTCTGGAAACTGCAAAGAAAAACTGCATGCAACCAAACATTAGAAGTTAAGCCGCAGAATACCAGATAATAGGAAACACATCCTGCTTCTAAAAGAAAGATGATTTCACTTTAACATCAATGATGATAGGGCACACAGGTTGACATGATGCCATAAGCATGTATCAGTGCTCGTCATGCAAATAGTGATAAACTGAAGATAAAAAGAAAAGAAAAAACAACATTCTCCATAAGAAGAGGTAAATTGATACTAATAACAACAACAGCAATGAGTAAATGACCAATGACAATAATGACAGCCACAAAAGCTGCCAAGCTAGATAATCTTGCAATGCTAGCACGGTGTTAGGACATAGGACCAGCAAGGATGACCAGAAAAAATCCATACTTGATTGATTATATTCTGAAAGGTTTCAAAGTTGTCAATTAGCATCCAATGACTAAACATTTGTTAAAACAACAATGGACTCACAATGCTGACGCTTAAAGATTTTCAGACAAAATCAACTAGAAATAGCATAAGGTAACTAAAACAACTCAACTATAAGAAACATAAAACTAAAATAGCAGTGCACCTCCTTCCCCCTCCCCCAAAGCCCCACAAACAGAAGGCAAGATTACCTTCATTAGATTAGTTAAGAAACCCCGCACTGATATGGCAATTAGGATTCCGATAAACAGCAGGGAAATATACTGCAAACGAAAAACAGAAAAAATGTAAGAAAACAACCATCAACCCCAGCAAAGAGACTGTACATAGCAATTGCATTCATAGCTACTAAAAGTGTTATTAATAGAGTGAATACTGAAGGCAACAAGATGGTCATTTAACTTTTCCCAATCACAAAGTGCTAGAATTATTGGTGCCAACTGACATCTCAAGCCCAATCACCAAGCTTGGCATGTCATATTTTCACACAGCATGCTTTTACATTAAACCCCTCAAATATTGTTTTGGGTTTTCCTTTCCAGGTCAAGCACTAAATTAGTGAAGCATAATGTTGACAAACTTGTCGGATTGAAATACTGTAGCATACCAGTCCATACCATACTGGTTTAAGGCAGAAAGAAAAACGTGGCAACTTTATGATCTGATAATTGAATGTACTAGAACAGTGTAGAAACTGAAATGACAACAAATATATTACTGCTAATCTTGAGAGAAACAGATATAATGCCACAATTATTGTTACTAATATTAACTAGGGAGGAAGCCCCCCCTCCCCCCAAACAACACCAAACTACATAAAGAGTTTTAAAACATTAATATAAAAGTCAAAACTTATTTATAAACACTAATACCATAGCAAAAGAATGTTTGCTAATTCAATCTTTGTGCAGAATATCTAAAAATGAATCAAGAGATAGGACTTTAACTGGCTCATTAAAAATCAGACTTATTCAGATAAATCCATCAGCAAGTAATATAATATATATTCAATATTTGGTCATGCACTTGAATGAACGAAATTTAGATCCTGTCTTGTATTTCAGAAACAACTCCAGCTGAAATTTTAAATACTTAAAATTTTTAACTAATTTCACTATAAGCAAGAATTGGGTAAAAGGTAGAGACTCTAACTTGGAGGTCTCAAGGTTGAAGGCTGAAACAGGAAATGTGGGATATAAGGGATGGGAAAGGGCATCAATGTGTCTCCATATGTATCAAAAGAAACAGAAAAAAATTTACTAAAAACTGTCCTCCCGAAAAATTAAAAACATGGAACTTCAAGCTTAGTCAAGTATAGGACAAAAACAGGAGGCGGAGAACATTTCAACACTTAAGTGGTGAGTTATAAGCATATGTTACACGCAACAACTTTGGGTACTTTAACATAGCTGCAGACTATCAATCTATTCAAGTGCAACACAATAGACTGACCTGTGATAGCAATGCAGCATCTATTCCAATGTCAAAAAACTGCAACAATATGGTAATTGACATTGTAACAGGGTCAACTGAACCAGCCTGCGAAAGAAACAGATATTAATGATATATACTGACTGTACAAAAAAAGGGAAAAAGATAAAAATAGCAGAGATCATTCAGAGATGAAATACCTCCTTGAAAACAACACTTTGTAAAGACTGCACCAAAACAACAGATCAATCAGGCACCATTTTCCACATTAAATCTTAAATCAGAAAAAAATTGAGAGTTGAGGAAAATTTGTGAGCAAAAGGATATTGAGATATCAGAAATTTCAGGATTTCAAAATTGAGCACCGAACTTTTAATGACCTAACCTGCCTCAGAACCCCTTAACATAAAAAGCAAATAAATATTTAAAGCTGTTATCCCAAATTCAGTGATAGAAAGTTGTTTAATTTGATCCATTTCAAGAATAAAGCGATGTAGTAAGTCCATGTTCCAGTGTCCTTTCCCACAATATTCTGATGGGATCAAATCCTAACCTTGGAAATCAACAATGCAACCTTCAAAAATTTTGATACACAAACACCTGAAAAAAGATTAGAGGCATTCTACAGTCCAATAAAAGTCTGATTTTGGGTATTGTGCTAGGTTAAAGTCAAGTAAAGATGATTAGCCTTCTTAACAATCATGGAGATCAAGGGAGCAAACAAAATGAACTTTCAGACCAAGATTAAATAAACAGTATATCAGAGGAATTCTTAACTGAAAATTAGGGCGACCAGAGGAGCAAGAAAAATTAATTTTCAAACCAAGATTAAATAGGCTATCAAAGGCAAATTGGTGAGCATAAGTCATGAGATTTTAGGTGGTTCAAACAATGTAAGAAAGGATGAAAATAAATCTTAAAAGTCAGGCTTCAGCTTTCTAGGAACTTTTCATTGAAGAATATTTCTAAAATCTCACTTAAAGGGAGGAAGTTTTAAGATTTTATTCAGATATCATCACCCAGTTATAGCACCATGAAAATGAGGCCTGGTAAATTGGGAATTGTAATAGTAATAACACTTTTGCTAATCTAACCACTTGTAAGACTTGAACACACGCTATCTCACTTGTTGGCCCGTGAACTTTGCTGATGCAGTTTACATGGCACTAGTGTAAATATGGTGGCCTCTTTTGGGAGTTTCTATTTGCTTTCACCAACTAGCAAGCAGTCTCAAGCTGCTTGAAAAAGGGAATGTGGGATCCTAAATTTTAACACAAAATCAAATACTTTTCTATAAATTTTTATTTTATTCTATTTCATTTCTAGAAGGGGATTCTTTTTTTTCTTAAAAAAATAGATGTTCTTCCAATTAAAATAAAAAGCTATACAAGTATGTTTGAAATAATTCACTTATAATTGACACGTTGTTATAAAGCCATCATGTACCCATTTTTCTCAAAAATTTTTTGAGAAATACTCAATTCAAACTTAGTTTGGACACAAAATGAATCAATCACTGATCTATGCTCTTCTTCCTATTCTCAAATGCAAGGGTTGCAAATGTTTTGGAGGACTTTTCGACTTTGGCCTAAATGTAGGCTACTTGAGTAAAAGGTTCAATAGAGCTTTTATTGGCATAAAAAGCCTCATCACATCTTGTAATTATCCATTGATATTGTTTTATTATTTCCCTTTGTTAAAGCAGTGGTTGCATAATTTTGTTCTATCATTTTGATAGTATAACCTTCAACAATAGAATTGAAGTTAAATGATTTTGAAATATAAATCTTCATAAGTTATTTAAAGAACTTGTAAGATGTGCAAATACTGTCTCATATCTAATAAAAGATAAAGTCTCCCTACAACAAGGAAAAGTAAAGGCTTCCAAAAGTAGCAACAAAAGGAAATCCTACAGACAAATTGCAACTCAATTGAATCACTCAGAATATAATTAAGTAGAATTGCATAAAGTCTAAACTCCAAAAATCATCGAGTATCCATGAAATCAAAAGGATTATGAACTTTTAGAACATTACAGGAATTAGGGCTCATTTCCGTTACATGATTGCTGTAGACCTATGGTTGGGCCTCTTGTCAGGCATGTCAGCTTTTTTCTAATCTTAATGATTGTTACCTTCATCATATTTCTTTATAAATGACATCTCATTTTCAGGCCACTAAATTTTACTATTTACTTGAACTTAATCGTGTAGCAAAGGAAAGTAAAAATTCATTGGTCATATACCTTAATCATTTTGTATACACAATAAACTGAACCTGCATAGCCAAGCAAATTCTGCAAATGGCCCCTCCATGTTCGCGAATAAGCAGCAGCCTCCTGCAAAATATAAAAAAGAAGACTGAGCATTGCTTTTACTGAAACAAATCTAAAAGAGAAAGCAAAGAGGAAACATCCATTTTAAATAACTACAGTAGCCGTACACGACTAACTACGCCAATTAGCAGCTAAGATATCAATTTTCATTAAAGAAACAAAAAACATGTCTACAAAACAAACTTCTGAAAGGAAATAAATAACTTGCATTAAAAAGGCATTATAATTTATATGTTAAGTACAAATTCTAACTCCACAGAGCAATTGAGGTCCATCAAGATAGTATAATTGTACATCTTCTGTGAGCAGATCATCACAGGTAGCCAGTATTGTGACAACCCCATGTACTAAAATAGTTAACATGGACTAGAAATTCAAACAATAACAAACTATAAAGAGAACGAAAAAAAAAAAAAGAAATATTTTTTGGCTACCATTCTGTTAATATCAATCTCTTTTTCTGTTTCTCCATATCTTTCTGGTTTAATGCATGGTAAACCTTGTACATGAGAACAGTCCATTACAACAATTTTCAAGACAAATAATAGAAACTGTGACAGCGTAATATCACATGTAAATTTGATTTCAACTCTAGCTAGCTCTAAGGCATAACTCCACCACCTATAAAATTGGTTTTAAAGTGGCCCTTATGAAAGTAATGGATGTGACTAAGTCTACGCCTTCATTCATTTACGCTTTGAACGATTTAGAAGACCTTAAGAGACGGTATTGACCTCTAGGTCAAAGGCCCACAATCATAATTAATATAGTTAGAATACAAGTGTAGAGCCAAAGGCAAACCTTAGCTTGCCGGAGCTCATAGATTTCCAGGAATAGTTGCTTTGAAAGCTCTTCCAAACCTTGAACCTCAGCATCCAAGATTCTAATATCTGCAAAGAAAGAAGATAAACCACTTCATTGATTCGAAAAGATTGAACCAGAAGTATTTATACCTCTCAAATGTAGAAGTCAAATGCTAACGTAAAACAGTGTAAAAAAACATCTTTGTAAGCTTCATAAGTTACATCAACACAAAGTAGCAAAGCCACTGCAAGACACTGAATACATCAGAAACACTATGCGAAAACATAACATTAGTAAATCTAAATCGGCAATTCAGACCATCCACAAAAACTTGAAATTTTGAGTTCAATGTTTTTAACACAATAAAGCTGAAGGCCATTTTCAAAACCAATTTAAACCCAGAAAGTTCAGCAACAACTTTTCTTTTCCTGATGCTTATAGCTAATCCATCTTATCCTTTGGTACCAGAGCTAATGCTTAAGGGCAAGATTAATCTCTAAGAGTCCTGTGCAAAATAGACTTCTGCCTTTACACTAGAACAGTAGAACTTGCATTCTATGCTTGAAACACCTTTCTAAGCTGTGGATAACTTGTTAGTTTTCAGCATGCCAAAAATACGGTTAATTGCACCAAAACTACTAGGAAAACAATACTGCATATTTCTTCTTTAGTTCATTCTTACACAATCTACAATCTCACAGTTGATGTGTAATAGCTATAGAATATTCAATGTGCAAGAAGTGCCATGGCACATGCAAACATCACAAAAATATAATCTATCCAATGTTTATAGTAAAGATGGAGGAGGTCAAAATCCAATTAAAAAAGAAAAGTGTGACATATGAATGCATATTCCTTCACTGGTTTAATGATCAAAATATCAACACATAAGCCCATTGCCATCATTAATTAAAAAATGATGTATCCAAAGTTGACACTATTAGATGATAGTCGAGGTCCTAAAAAGTATGATTATCCAAGAAGAAATTCTAAGAACTTTATTGAGGCAACCAAAAAATAAAATAAAAGGAAAAACATAAAAAAAAGGCCTACTAAGACAGATTTTATCTAGAACATACCACATCACAGGTTCATTATTATAGGGAATTTTACAGCATATGACTATATGTTGAAGATGAGAAAAAGAATGCAGACCTTGCTCCTTCTGATCATCTTGCACTGAACGTACAACTGTGCCTACAATCCTTTTGAAGAAGGATCCGGCCTTTAAGTTCTGAAAGATACATCTTTAATTAGCCAATATATATTTATATAGGAACTATAATCAAAGTCAATTCCACGACTTGAAAAATACTTAAATTTTAGGGTCATTTATAAAAAAAATATATATTGAAAAAAAAAAAAAAAACAATGGCAAGAAATAAAGAAACACACCAGACAAGAACAACAACATGGCAAACAAGTATAATGCATGTAAAATGACTTTTGGCACCATGATATGATCCACTGTGGTAGAACGTGCCAAACCAAATTCAGCCTTGATGGCATTTAAAACCAATGGAATTAGCTTAAAGAAGAACACTATAAATGCATTTTGTGTTTATCTCCATCTTAGCTGCAAATTATGCTTCGTTCATAACCTTACATATTTTCTATGGGGGGTCATAAAAGACCTCAATCCACAACATTGCATCAATTTCAAAGCATTAAGATAAAAGGAGCAAGATCAGTAAACCTCGTCAGATCCTTGAACTCGTTCCATCTCCTTTTGACAAAGAATGATTTTTTTTTTCTTTGCAACACAAGTCTCAATCGATTGCATTAGTTGCCTCTCCAATGCCTTAATCTCTGATTCCTCAATCTCTCTGCCACATTTACAGGCACAAATACATAAGAAATCAAAGTCATCCAGATGCATTGAAACAGACATGATACAAAGAAAACTAAATTCGCCAGAAAAGGCAGCTTTAATCTGTCTATCAGTGTCAATAAAGTACCAGTATCAGCTTTCAGAACACTATAAGATACATTTGAATCTTCTACTCTTTATATGATTATACCAAAACTACAAACTCCAAGCTTTAAAGGGAAAAAAAATGGTCTGCAATCCCTTCACATTGCATGCGTGGTTTACAGGCTTAGCCATGAGAACTAGATCCAAAGTTGGCTTGTGCAAACTGTTACCATGTTACTTTCTACATTTATCAAAATATGAAAGGCTGACAATCATGACATTCACCCCTAAAGACATATACAGCCAATACCTGTTAAGGACCATGCTTGTGATACCTTGCATAGATAGAAATTTTATAATATATTTTACTTTAGTGATTCTATAAAATGTTATCATATAAGAGGTACATCTAAGAGTTTAGCGGGCTATTCACAAGGTTTCTTCTGTTTCTAGGCTCAATTTATCATATAATCAACCTCATTCAGTTTAACATTCAACCTTTAACAAAACATTCGAGTATATGAATCAAGGGCAGCATCCATTCATATGATAGTACAGACAGACTGTTACATGTATTTTCCAAGTAAAGAAGCTGGATATCAACACACATATTTTAAAGCTGCATACTCATCAACTCAACAGATCTTTTTGCAATCATTTAGAGGTTTTTTTTTTTTGCCAAACCATTCGTTTAGAGTTGGCAAAGTATCTTTTACAACCATTTAGTTTATCCAAGAACATAGTTGTTCATATCATTCCTGAAAATATTTCTGTAGTTGCAATTATTTGAGAGCATACAATTATGTCTTCTTGTTCAAGTTCTGGAGAGCACTTGAGAGGTTGCAATTATTTTCTTTTTCTTCTTCTTCCTACTTATTATAGCAATAAACATTCTAAACACCCAAAACATTAATTTTCCAACATTTAGATAGACCTTTTCCTCTTGCTGCACCACAAAAGTCAAATTCCCAGATATGTTTTCCAACCATTTTCATTGCATTGTATGTAAACTTTAAAAAAAAAAAAGGAGAGAGAAAGAATCTACCTTTTCTTTGCAATTAAATTCCAAAAATTAAAGTAATTAATCTCAGTAATGTTCCCATAAAATCTTCACCTATTCAAACTTCATATTTAACTCTAAATCTCTACACTCGTGCATCTGAAAAATTGAAGTCCCAATTTCAGCAAGAGAATTCAAGTACATCCATCTCAGGCTTCTTCTCCTCAGCCATAATCTTAAATAAGTGAAACCTCCAACTTCTTACAGCTGAACTTTTGTCAAACCATAACATGTTCATTCTTGACCAGCCAATCCTTGGACATCACACAAAATTACCAAGCTTTCTTACCTTGGAGACATAGTATGGCTTTCTCTGAAAGTCTTCAATTATAAGCACACCACTCTATCTTAATCCACCTTGGCTAAACCTCAAGCCAAGAAAATATCTCTCCTGCATTTATTGGTCAACTCTGTAACTACTACCGTGGTTTTCCTCTTATCCAATCCTCAAGCACTTTTCATCAGTAACTAAGCAAAAATATACATGATGCCATTATTATGTTCAAGGACATCCTATCTTTCTGGAATTGCTTCCAAATAATCATTGGAAGATCACATAAATCAAAGACAATGTAAAAGAACTAAGGTTGAACACAAAGTTATTATCAAACAAAATACCAAGCAAGCAATGAAAAAAATGTGGAAAATGATATTCTAAATACAGTAGAGGGGTAATGGTTATTTAATATGAAGCATGCAGGAATAAAACTCTGTTTAACTATCCTGCATCCAAAAACCAAGAAATCAGACAATCAGTACATGTCAATACCTGATGAAGAGTGACAAATAGCTGTATGGCAAGTTTACGGCACCAAAACCAGATAGGACAGCCATGACAGTTACTCCAACAACACCAATTCGACTGACCAATTGAGGCATTGTGAAGAAACCTGAAAAATAAAAATCAGGAGCTAATATTTCTGAAACACTTGCATAAAAGATGTATGCTTAAAGTTAAAAGGAGACTTTTTTTTTTGTGCTGATATATTAAAATTAAATCATTATCCTTTAATCCAGGTTACTTACAACCTGCTAGAAAATCCAGTTTTCGGCCTCAGATTATTGCCACATAGAAGCATAATCTTCAAAAGAGCTAAGAAATACAAAAATGCAAAGGATGTGACTGATCTCCTCGCCTTATCCACAACACAAAATCTTACTGTAGTGTTTTGTAATTGAAACCTCCAGACCTATCATAAATTTCTCTTTGGCCTCCAAAACCATAAAATAAATTCCAATCACATCATCCAGCTAATATTCCAGGAATACAGAGGCCAAATTTACTCCACTACCATCTAGTTATAAATTCTCCAATCTTTAAGCTAAGTCCCAAAAAATTTTCAGGTGTCGTTCTCAGATAATTAAGATTAAGGTAAAAGATTGAAACCAAATCCAATCAGAATAAAAGAAGAGAAATTTGTTAACAAAACATGGTGAGTTTGTGCCTGTGCATGCGAGACAGATTGAAACTATGAACTTAGATAAATGGAAATCAAAAACCTTTGTCAGGAGAGGGCATGGGAAAGTGAATGCCCATGCGCCAAAAAGCATAGAGAAAGGCCAACAAGAATAGAATAGCTCCCAATCCAGCCCGCTCCTTCCTCACACCTGAGATGAACATCTAGAAAATGTTAGGCCTAAAAGATAAGAATTGAACGCATCTAAAGAAGTTATTTGTTTTATCTTTCACAACTTGCACTTAGGCCTCAGAAATTTCACTCACAATATTGCCAAATATATAGGCTCCAAGTGACTACTTTAAAAACACTCTTAACTACTTTTGCAGATCCATCTAAGCTCAGAACTCAATTGTGTGAAAAAGACATATAAATCAATCATAAAAACAAAATATATTCACCATTCTAGGGTGACGTAACTGATTGAGAATGATTTTCATATTTAAGAATGCAGACATTTATATTTGGGGGAAGGAGACACAGCATAGTTCTCAAAAATGTTAATACCTCAACATTAACTCTCACAAGAGAAATAACAAATTATAGAAAACAATTCTAGATTATAAAAGAAAGTTGAAGTTAAAAGAATTCAATTAGCATTTAGGAAAAAACTCACCACTGTTGCAAAGCATCAAGTAGCAATGGTAATAAGGCAACATGAAAACTAGTAGCAAAATCAAACAGAATAGATCAACCTTCCAGTTTACCAATCTTGCCCTATCAACAAAAGGGAAAATGCGAGTTAACAATAAGACTTATGACATTCAAATAAGCAATCAGAAGGAAAGCAAGACTTAAAGTTAGATGCTAAAAAATGGTAGCAAAAAGTAAAATGAAGCGAAGTGAAAGGACATAATAGACACACACAAGAACTAGTGGCAAAAAGGTCAGTATTACTCTTTTTTTTTCTTCTTGAGACGAAAATGACATCCTGGAGACATCCCTAGTGGCACAATTAATTAAGTTAATGCGTAAAACCACCCTAGAGAGGATTAACAAAATGTAGAACAAAAGAAGCACAAACCAATAATAGTAATTTCTCCAGAACAACAAAAATAAAAAACTTAATATTCAGAAGTCTGATGTACTTCATAATCTTATGACTTTAGAAAAGGGGACTTCTAATAAATTAAAAACACGATTTCACATTTCAAAGAGGATCAATTTATTAGAAATTACCCTTTGGACAGAAGATTAAGCTCAGTAGTTGCATTAACACCAATACCATCAAAATCAACTCTAAGAACACTCCTTTTCCATCTCACATTCTCTTCCAAGAAACTAAATATCACATATACATAGAGGTGACTTAGTTACAAATAAAGATTCACAAATGTAAAAGCCATGCCCTACAGATTTTCTAACAAAGACAAACAACCACACCAATCTTCTGAAAGCAAATAAAAAAATATGAAAGAAGAAACTAATAACTCAATATGCAAAGTACATTCAGCAGTCTCCAAGAGTTGAATTTGTACCAAACAACCAGGAAAAATGCTCATATAGCCACTCATCAGATTTCAATTCAACTCACTTTTTTCCTTTCACAAAGCAACCAAAAGAGAAACCTAAAACCCACATAACTAGAAACACTCTAAATCACTAAACATAAATGGAAAGTTAACTCCTAGTAAAGCACGAATCACACATGATAAGTTTTAATTGTTAAAATAAATCCAAAACTATCAAAAACCCAATTTTCAAAAATCCTAGCCATTCCCACTTCTCAATAATAAATTCCCCAAAAGAGCCTCTATATGCACACTTACTCATATATATTCAACTTCGTTTCCTTTATTTACAAAGCAAAACCCATAAAATAATTACACTGACAACCCCTAAACATATATAGAAATCTAGTTAACTCCTAAAAAAACCAAAATTAGACTAAACTAACAAAAACCCAATTTCCACAACAACAAAAAGAAAATGCAAAGACCCGCACCGAGAGAGAGAGAAAGGGCGACTCTTACTCTCTGGAGAGAACGGGGATGATCTCGAAAAGAACGAGCTGGAGAAGGTTACAAGAGAAAGCGAATACAATGCTGAAAATGATTTGAACCAAAGCTCTTTTTTCCTCGTACTCTTTGTAAAGTCTTCGGTTTAAGAACCAAAGACCTGTCCATCCTAGAAGAACTAGCGATCCCATAACCACCATTCCTTCGTAGATCGCCCATCCCCAACCCATCTTTTTTCGAACTTTTGTTGATCTCTACTCGAAATCCTTTGCTCTGTCTTGTCTTCTAGAATTTCTCTCTGGTGTTTTTATGTTGCTGATATGGTGTAGTTTCCTTAGGAATGTGAAGGACACTACGTTTCGTTTGGAAGCGCATTTCACTGATGAAATGAGACGTCTTCTTTTGGTTTCTTTTTTTTTTTTTTTTTTTTTTGAATTGATTTTTTAGGAAGAATTACAAAGTGAAGCAGTAAAATAGAAATATTTAATGACTATGGTATTGAAAAAAGATATTTATGAGAAATTGCTCTTACTATATTGCCTACCGATTAATGGACTTGTTCCTTTCTTGTTTTTGTTTTAGAGTTGTACATTATTGTTGGTATTTTCAGTGAGGATGATATAGAGGTTGAGATGGGATTGATTTAGATAATTGTTTATAGTATTTTGAGTGAGGATGAGTTGGATGATGATTTGGAGGTTGAGATAAGACTAGCCTAGACTTGTAGTAGGAAAGTATTGTTCAAGGGTGTTGGAGTTTGTTTTTTGAGGTGCATTTTGATGTTTAAGTCAATTAAATGTCTTAAGATTTTTTGGAAGAAAAAGGTAAATTACAACGAGTATGGAGGAAGCTTTAAAGTGAAGGGTATAGAATGTGTATATGGTTTCACTCTTACCTTATACAAGAGATATGGGCGGTGATATAATTGGAGTCAATAATAATTGATAGAAAATCCACATGAAACTCGAGGAAGGAAAATATTAGTGAATGTGAGTTATATTTAATTATTTCATAAATTATATTTAATAATTTCAGATAAATTAAAAGTAAATTAATTTTTTATGAAATGATATGTTAATGAAACATTAACAAAAATAATTAAATAAGCTTTTTTCATAAGCGTAATAGTCTTGATAAACGAGTAACTTAGAGGGCGAGCTCACATTACGAGGATGAGCTTGGATATTATCCTTCCTTAATGATGATGTGACAATTAAGCATGCATTAATTTGGCGAGTATAAAAGTTGACCCTGTTGACTAGAGTTAGGTGTAACAATTGTCCCACGGTTCTGATAGAAGGTTAAAAAGTAATCGCCATCAAACTTTACTCAGACAAGTGATCAAGTTAGAATAGTGTCGAATAGATGTTGGCGAAGCAAACCATTCAAGTAGTGTGGTGGAGGTGTTGATTAGCAATAAGGGAATGACATGTTTGTGATGAGTTGAGGTGATAACGTGTCTTTTTTGGCATGACGGCTCATTTTTGTGAGCCTATTTGATGATAAATGATGACAAGTAATAGAGGATAATAGGTAAAGACTTTAGAAAAAAATTTTGGCTTTGTTTGTTGTGGATCCCCTTTTGATGTAGGTGAGGAAAGCACGTTGTGAGGTATGTGATCACATTTTTTATTTATGCAGCTGTATAGAACATGTGGTGCAAGGTGATTAAGGTAAAATTTATTCTATTTGAAATTTGAATGTACAGTTTCATGTGTGAACAAGATTCACCCTAAAATGAATAGTCAGCCCGCTTCAATAGATGTTATTGAGGTTAATGTATGTTTTTAAAAGGCTGAACTGAAATGATCGGTTGGTTCAATGAATGTAACTGAATAATTTCAAAATAGATGGTTTCATTTGAGGAATTTAATATAATTGTTTCAATTAAAATGTTTGGCTAGGTATAAATGAAAAAACAATAAAGGTTAGGGCTCACTTTACTATTTTCTAACAAAAGCAAATCTATTGTGTTCTTTATCTTTTATGATTTTTGCTTCGAATTTTTAAAGTTGTTTTGGTACGTTCATAAATATCTCTTTAAGTTATTTACTTGGGTTTTTTTTTTTTTTGGTTTTTTGGGAGTGATTAAGATGGTGTTGAAGAGAAAAATTATTGGTGAGGAATTAAATGATAATGAAAGCACAATTGTGCAATTTACTAGTAGTGGAAATGGTAATGTGGCTTAGGGAAGAATAAGTGGGGCCAAGAGAAGAGTAATGAAGTTAGAGGGTTAATGGTTGGGATAATGACATTGTGATTCGAGAAGGAGGTGGCATTAGGTCCATTGGAGGTAGCTATGGTGGTGGTAAAAAAAAAGGGGAAGAGGTGGTGGTGGCAAAGCTAAAAAACTTTAAGCTAGGGCGATGGCCACTGGACGTGTATCAGTCCAATGCAACTACGTGGATGATGAATTAGACCTTAGATAGGGTCACTTCTTAAGAACCTTCTGTTTACTATGTTGTTGTTGTCTGAGGGTTTTACCATTAGCCTAGTTAGGACTGACGAGGGAACTGTAGGGTTCTATTTGCCTAACTTCATATAGAGGTTTCACCTTTCTCTGCACCCATTCTTTCAACTGGTCTTAGCCACATTCAACCTAACCACATTATAGCTATCACTTAAGTCTTAAGGGATCTTGGTGGCATCTTTCATCACCTACCATCAAACAGGGTAGGTTCCATCAATGAATGTAATACTAGCTTGATTCTCTTTTATCTCCCTAAAAAGAATAATTGGATGTTGTATTACCTTCAAGCGTAGGGGCATACATTTGTGGTTAGGTTGTCTTAGAATAATCATCCCAATGCAACTACAATAGGTTTGTTATGGCGTATATAAAGACCTTTAGCATGCGATTCCCCATTAAAATAAAGTGGTTGTACACTAGTGCTTTGACAAAGGGAACACTAGAGCTAAATGATGATGAGGCAGAGCAAGTGAATGTTTTAAAGGTTGAAAGACTCTTTCGTGGAATTGGTGATGAAAAATAACATTCGTCAACACTACTTGATGACTGACAAGGATAAAGATTTGGAGGCTTTTGTCCAAAAGGTGTTGGATGAAAAAAAACCAACACTTGCATCCAAAGGCAAAGAGGAGTAAGGACCAACCTCCTCAAATAAAAGGTAACCAGTATTATTGCATAAGTTTACTTGTATACTTTATTGTTTATCCATGTACAGATAATGTTTCTTTGGTTGTGAGTATGTGCTTGATATTAATGCAATGAAAAGAGTTACTGTGAAACCTAAAAATTTTGGTGCTAGTTAAAGAATGGGTACGCCAAAGATTGATGGCATGCAATGAATTATTGAAGGGAGCATATCTATGGCTCCTATTGTTTCATGTAGGAGGGAGTTAGCTTGCAAATTGTTTAAAGGCCTAAAAAGGTGGCGTAAGGTAGGGTAATGAAGGTGTTTTAGGGTTTAACGAGTTGGTGGAGTTAGAGTCTGGTGTGCCAAATGTTGGGCCCATAAATGAAGGTAATTAGTGTTGCTTTTATGTGTTTTAAACTGTATGATACTAATTCTAATGTGTTATTATTTATTTTGTAAAAATAGATCGTGCTTCTAAGCTTCAAAAGATCCTAAAGTAAGAGAAGTTGAAAAGGAAAAAGTCATTGCAAGTCAATCCCCCTTCGGCTAAGAAGCAAGCTTCGAGTACTATTAGGGTGCTCGCTACAATGGTGGCTAATAGTGAGGTCTCAATGTCAAAACAACATCTGGCATGACCTTACCATCCATCATTTTTAGCACGTCATCAACTATCACTAGCGTGCTTATGATTTCAGCTTTTGTAGGAACAAGGGCCAAACCGTAAGAAGAGCAATAGAGGGCCTTGACCTTCTAAAATTTTGAAAAAAATCTTTAGAATATGTGTATATTTACATTTTTTTAGCCAAAAAATATATATTTATGTTAAATAAATTTAAATTGGCCCTTCAAAAATGTTAATATTATTTATTATGATTTCATAATTTAATTTTACGTATTGTAATTTAAAATGGGTTAAAATAATATTACTATTTTCTATTTATTTTACCCATTACTCACATTTTTATTTGTCTAATTATTGTATTCACTAATTATTATTTATAAATCCTTAAAATCAAGAGTTTTGTTATAAATTTTAAATCACAATCATGTGATTTTAGTAAAAACCAAATTAACATTTTAGTTTTCTCAATTATACTAAATCTCAACCAAATATTAAATGTGTTTTTTTTTTATCAAAAATTGAATATTGTTCATCGAACCTAGAAATTCAATACTCAATTAATAAGCCACATGATTGTTGATTATTTTCATTTTCTTTTTAGCTAATTACAAATTTTTCTTGAGTATCATATTTCACTTTTAATTACTTTAAATCTATATCTCATGTTATCTTATAATATTTTCAATAGAAAAAATCATATTAGAATCATTTTAAAAAGTTAGAAAACACCATGGATTTTTATTTCCAAATTTTTAACTTCATTTTTTAAAAGCATATATATTTTTCTTATTTGGATAAAAAAAAATTTTAACTATCGATGCTTATAAAAATATTGATTTGTTATTTTTATGAAAAAAAAGTTAAAATATAATACTAATTGGCCCATCAAAATCAAATGTTAAGATACGCAATTGCTGAGTATCATAATTCTTGTAGAGGTTGTTGTTCCAAGCTCTTTCTCTACCTTGCCTTCAACCATCCCACCAACTGTAGTGACCCTTTTAGTGGTGGTAAGCATTTATACCAGTGCGTCTGCAAATGAGGAAATGGAGGCCTCATTAAGGGTTAATGCCCTGGTAACTAGTTATGTAAGCGAGAGACTGGATTGTATGTCTATTGCAGACTTCAGGGTAGTCCATGATAGGCCTATCAGCATCCTGCCTCCTGAAGTTGCTTGTTTATGAGCTATGACTAGCTTGTCCCACTATGTAAAAGAAAGGATGCAGTAGTTTTCGGTGTTCAAAAATCTACAAAATGAGCTGTTACTCGTAGTTGATGTGTGTATTAGTGTTAGCCAATGTTTTGTGTATGTTTTGAACTGGTAAATCTTTTGCTAATTGCTGATATTTGTGTTTGTGTAACTGTTGGCAAATAATGTTAGCTTGTATAAGTAAGGCAGGTTACTTGTAGAGGAGTTGCAAAACAAAGGAGAAATCTTGTAATAAGAGGTCAAGGCCATGACAGATCAAAATACCTTTTTGCGTGAGGACATTACAATAGAGGGGGCTTAGAAACTCTAAATGCCACTCTACAAAATAATGTAGCAGAGATGGAGGCAGAGTTAAAGAAGAAAATTGTTTAGATGCCTAGCTGAAATAAGCTACTAGAAAGGCCACTACAATGTAGCAATGTTTGGATGTTGCCATTATTCACCTAGTGGAGGTTAACCAAAAAATGACCAAACTATAGGGGGAGT